TAAGGTTATAAATTATAAGGTCAAAGATAACATTTTAAACTTACCTCACTGATTCTTTAGTATTTCAGAATTGTGGATAACTGATTATGAACCTATGAATGTTTAGAGGAGCTCTACTCATAATCACCACAAATTGGAAACAACCCAGATGTCCTTCAATGGGTGAATGAATAAACCGTGGTACAGCCATACCCTGGAATACCCCTCAGCAACAAAAGAACAAGGTACTGTGCACGCAACAACTTGGATGAATATGAAAGGCATTATGCTGTGTGAGAGAAGAAGGTCTCAACAGGTTACACACGATCTGATTCCACGTATACAGCACTGATTCCACATTTTCACATTGAAAAGACAAACCTATAGCTATGGAGAACAAATCAGTCCTTGCCAGGACTGGAGGCAGCGTGCATGACTACAAAAGGATAGCACAAGTTTTTTGGTGATGGAATTTCTCTGTATTCTGATGTAGTGGCAGTTACATAAATCTACATATATGTTAAAATTCCTAGAAACTTACACCCAAATGAAAGGTCAATTTTGCTCTGTGAGAATTTTAAAAATTAAAAAAAAAAAAAGAAATGAAAGTCAATGTGTTTAGGTTAAGATTCTTATATGAAGGAATGTGTTATATGATGCCACATTTTGTTACATAATGCATTTTTATACATTACCTTGTGTTATATGATACCACATGGTGTTGTTTTATTTTTATTTTATTTTTTATTTTATTTTATTTTTTTTGTCCTTTTTGAGACCGGCCGCACCGCGCTCAGCTAGTGAGCGCACCGGCCATCCCTATACAGGGTTCCGAACCCATGGCCTTGGTGTTATCAGCACCACACTCCCCCAAGTGAGCCATGGGCCAGCCCTCACATTGTGTTTTATAATCTCCCATTGTGTTACATCATGTGTGCAGTATTAGATGATGTCATATGTTACATGATGTGTATCGTGTAATATGACATCACTTTGTGTTATATATCACTTTGTGCTACATTATGTTACGTGTTACACATTGATAAACATGATATACACTGTATGATTACATGATATACATTGTATGATATGACATGTTGTGTAACACAATGCACATCATGAGATGACATCACCTTGTGTTATATGACATTATGTGTTATATAATGTCATCTTGTATCATATGAAATGTTGTGATACACAATGCATAGTGCTATATGACATCTTGTGTTATATGGCATCAAGTTGTGTTATATGATGTCATGTTACTTGATGCACATTGTGTGATATGATGTCACCTCATGTTATGCACCATCACATTGCATGATGCTCAAATTATGCAGCAGGTCACATTCAAAACAGAACATCACCAAAGACAAATGATCACATGCTCTACTGTCTGAAGCCTGGGAAAAATCTTGCATCTATTTTGCCACTGTTCCTATCAGAAAAGTTACTGTAACTCTAAAGAAACTGCATTCTAATAAAATACATGCTAATCAAACTTTTCTAATCAACCTTACCTATCATGATGAATAGGATCCCCAGACAAAATCAACTGTACACAAACCCGAACTGAAAACAAGATTTTAAAGCAGAAAAGAAATAAGCCCCTCAATCATAGATGCAACAACTACACAAAAAGAGATGAGACATCTTCATGAAAAGTATAGACTTCCAAGGCTAAAATGAAAAGTTTCAGAGTAATTAAGTCCATATAGTTAAAGATGTGACTTTAAATTTTAAAGGTATTGCTCTTAATTCAAAGATTATTGCCAAATGCTAACAAAACTGCATGTAAGCTCTCAAATATTTTCAGTTTTTGAAAAGCCTGTTATATTCTTTTAAAGTGGAATCTCAAATAAAATTAGAAATAAAATAATCTTTGAACACCCAAAGGAATTCTCTAATGGAACCCCTCTGCCGACAAAACACCAGTTTTAGTATACTACTTTAATTATCAGCAGTGACCACCTAACATTCTTGTAGTGATTAAAGGTTTATAATGTTAAAATTACATTACATCTGAGTGTAACTAAAAATAATTACACTGCAACAATTTCTAGATGTAATCCACCAAGTACAATTGAATTCCGTGACACTGTTACCACTCTAGTTTCGGCATTCTCCATTGCTTTATTGGTATTCTATGTGGATTGGCTCTCAGATGTGGATACAGAACACCTGTCAGCTCAGAACCAAGCCCCGGCCACCTGCCAAGTTGGACTTGAGGTTATTTAGGGAAATAAATTCTGAAAGGCTGTGAACATATGGTAAAAAGATGGACACCCAGTCAAAAGCATGTGTTATGTATGGGAATCTAGAAATGTGGCTCTTTCACATAAGACAGAAAAGGGAACAGAGTCATAACCTAAAGATTTCTAAGGGTGACTTCTGATCAAGATGACAAAATAGACAGTCCCCAGCATCACCCTCCCCCCCAGTCAACCATTGCAACTATTAAAAAGCAATAAATGCCAAGCTGGGGCCACTAGTTCAGGGGAAGAGGAGTACAGACCTATGGAGTTCATGAAGTCAGTAGAGGCCACGATGAGAGAAAGAAAGGACTGCTCCAACCGTTTTGAGCCCTGACCACTTCAAGGCTGGCCCTAGTGAGCACATGGAGCAAGAGCTGGCAAAAGCCACAGCTGTGCCCTTCGTATGAAGTTGCTTGGAGGCAGCAGGGGAGAAGAGAGCCTTGGTGGCCCCAGGTCAGCAAGACCACTAACAACGTTCCAATGAACCCACATAGGAGTGAGGGGCCATAGACAACTGAAAGAAGAAGCCACTCAGAGGCTGGTGAGTCATCACAAGGGACCAGCACATGGCTCATCCCATGGGAAATGTTTAGAGTGTGGAGGGTGGGGAAGACAGACCACCAGGGGAACTTTGGGGCACAGCATGGACAACTGATCTGCCCTCCAATCATCACAGGACCACTCATTGGAGACTGGTCAGGAATATAGAACTGCAGGGGGTGCAGTTTGCTGAAAAGACTCAGGCCCAGACCAGAGTTTCTACACAACCCAGGTGGAGCAGACCTTACAAGACCCAGAAGTGCTTACGAGGTCAACAATTAAAACCTGAGCTGCACAAAAATCCTTCCCCAGGGAATCAGCAGCATTTAGCTCAACCACAGGGCTCAACTGCTGGTCCCCACAGGAAGTTCCCCCATTTTACAAGTAACCAAAGGACAACAAATTAGTTCCAGTGCAGAGTTTAAGTGATGGGAATAGCAAATAAACTGCACAGAACTGAAAGAAAAAATAAAAAAACCACAGATCAGAGACAAAGTTCTGATATTAACCAGTAAAGGTCTAATACCTCCAAAGAACATCTATAAAACCTTGAAGGACCAGAAGCCCCCCCAAGCTCCCAAGCCAGGGCAGTGGGGAGCCAAGGGCCTCAGCCATGCCCCCAATGTTCATATCCAGCCCAGTGATGACCACCAGGCCACCACCAGAAGCACCCCAGGCTCCCAAGCCAGGGTTATGGGGGGCCAAGGGCCTCAACCACACACCCCCAATGTCTGCATCCAGCCCAGCAATGACCACCAGGCCACCACTGGAACAGCCCCAGGCACCCGAGCCAGGGTGGTGAGGGTCTGAGAGCCTCAGCCATGTCTCCCCAAAGTTCACATCCAGCCCAACCACAACCAAGCTGCCACAGACCTCAACCATGCCCCCTTCCCCCCTTCTTCCTCCTCCCACCCTATCTCCTGCCCTTTCCCCACTCCTCCTCCCCCACAACTGCTCCACAACAACGTCTTAGAACGTAAAAAATAAAAACAATACATAAATAAATTTAAAAAATGATTTCTAAGGGCAGCCAGGAAGCTAAGAAGGAATGACATGTCAGTAACTACTGGTCCAGCCACCTCACATACTCAGGGGGCTCTGCTTTCCACAGCAGTTACACTCTTCAAGTGTGGCAGTAAATCAAATTTTCATAAAAGATTAAGATAAAAATAAGATATTTTAAAAATCATAGCAGAGCTCACTTTGGAAGGAAAGTAAGGATTGGTTAAAGAAAAGACTCCCTGATAGCACCTCAAATTGATCTTTCTCATAGACCTAGACTTTCACATGGGGAGGGTTTCAGAAGTGGTTTTTGTTTGGTTTTAAATAATGATACCAATAGAGGTAACTATGAAATCAATAATAAGAGCCTAAGGAATGTGAAGAATGTTTATGGAAAGTGGAAGGATGCTGAGCATTAACACGGTCTGAGGTGAGCTCCACCAGAAAGAGAGCCCTGTCTCAGGTGAGGACAGCCCCAGCCTCGACAGCATGCTATAAAAAGTGCAGAGGCCTGAGAGTGGCAGTATGGTGAAAGGGAAAGACGAGAATGGGGAAACAGATGCACTGTTGGACAGGAGAGTGGGTCTGTGCAGAGCTCTTGCAGTCCTCAGCCCTCGCACAAACAGGCTGTCATTTAATCATCACGTTGAGCAGCATGGGAGGCAGAACCGGCCCTGCTGATGTGACTCCCCGTCTCCTCTGGGAACAGTACAATAGAGATGACCATACCTACTCCATATCCCTTCTAATGTTAGACCCTGGAGGGGCTGAGGACCTAGCACCAAGTTGGCAGGGGCTGGAGATGCATGTCTCTCTCCCTCTCTTCCTTGCTTCTTTCCCCTGGAGGCTGCCCACCCTCCATCTCAGCCCCTGCTGGACGCCTCACCAGCACAGCTGCTCGCAGTTAAAGTAGGTATCTGGGAACGTGCTTTGAAACCTTGCCATCCAGACTGTGATATCAACTACAAAGCCTATCAACACAAACTAACAAAAACTTAGACTCACCAAGATCGAGATACATGGCAGGGACAAATGAATTGAGAAAGAACGTGAAGATAACAAATCCCAACACCGTCAGGCATTGAACACAAACTAACAAAAACTTAGACTCACCAAGATCGAGATACACGGCAGGGACAAATGAATTGAGAAAGAACGTGAAGATAACAAATCCCAACACCGTCAGGCATTTGGCGAGCAGAATCCTGTCATACATGGCAGGGACAAATGAATTGAGAAAGAACGTGAAGATAACAAATCCCAACACCGTCAGGCATTTGGCGAGCAGAATCCTGTCTGATATCCTGTGCTGTGAGAGAGGAAAACACAACTCATTTACTCAGTATATCCTTCCGATCCCTGCAAAGTGTCCATAGTCCTACATGACTCACATCAGTACAAATTTCTCCTTATAATGAAAAGTATAACATCGTGAAATTGGAAGAAACAGTAAGGTAATATGTTAAAAGAAAAATAAGATTCACGATTACACCATTCAAAATCTTTATGAAAAATAAACACAATAGATGTAAAATGTAGTACAGTCCATTCATAAAACACCTGACTAAATAGCTTTTCAATGTAACTGCAGAGTGTTAAGCTACTCCCAGCCCTGCCCCAGTGTTGGGTGAAATGTTCCAAACAACATCCAGTGACCTGACCCTTCAGGACACCTGCATTTCTACAGGTGCCTGTGTGGTCACAACGCTTTAGTTCAACTTTCCCTTTCCTATTATGCAAAGCCATGTCACAGTGACAATGAAGTTAATGTGCTCTTGAAATATCATGACTCCTGCATTAGGCTATAAGGCTCTTGCCATGTTCTTTCATGTAACACTCACAAGGACCCTGGAAGACAGGTGTCACCGCCCCCAGCCCTGATCAGTAGGTAACACCTGTGGGAATCTGCCCGGTCAGTGGGGGGCAGATTCCCACGAGCAGATGGCTGTAAGGGGTCCTTTCTTAAGTGTGGTCCCACCAGCACATCTGTCCATCTATCTGTCTAATCTATCTAGATTTAGATAGATATAGATAGATACAGACATACAGAGATACAGAGATAGAGGTAGAGACAGAAATGGATTTTCTCTCATTTCTCTGGCCACACAACTAAAGCTGCTGCCATCAAGAACGCAGGTACACCCTTCAGGCCACAGCAGCTCTGGCTTCGTCCCCTTAGGAGGCTATGGGGCAAGCTGCAGAGCATCAGCCCCCCCTTCCTGCCCACTGCAAAGGCTTACGTTCTGGCCGGCCCCCACTCATCTTCCCCTTCCCATGCCAAGGAAAGCCGGTGTTGCTACATGATCCTGTGATGTAGAATTAGGAGGAAAGGGGCATGGTAGAAAAAGCCCAAAGCTCTTAGAGAAGAGTGTGGTCCTCAACAGGTATGAGGGGAGGCACCACAAACCTTCCCTGAGGTCATTAACCACAGAAAGTGGGTATTACCAGGGCTAGGGCTAAGACTGGAGATAGAGAAGCAGGCAGGTCAGAGAACATTCCAGCACACTCAGCTGCTGTAAGTGGAGGTTTCTTTTGGGTGTCTGTCAGATTTGCTGGGGTCATCTCAGTAAGAAGTCTTAGATGCAGTCAAGGGATATTGCCAAGTCCCTTGCCTCTCCCTTTTGTCTTCCCCCAGTCCTCATCCACCAGGCACACAGAGAGGCACAGAGCCTCTCCTACAGCCCGTAGCAACAACATGGTCTAGCAAGGCAGACAGAGTCTGTATGAACTTGGGGCCCAAAAGAGTGTCATAGCTACACCCTACTTTTCTAACCCCCACCATCTGCATGGGACAGAGATTGTGAAGAGAGCCCACAAGGCCAAATCCCCTAAAGAACATATTATACACCAGCACCCCAACGTCTAACTTTCCTTTAGCAAAGGACAAAATATTCTTGTCATAATTAGAGTAGGTGGTCAATCTCTCTCTAGAAAAGAAACTACATGGATTTGAAATTTCACTAAGATACAAATGACTCCTAGCAGGTATTGAGCAGAGCTCTCTTGGCTGGGAGAGAGGCCCTATGTATCCACAGGTGGGCTGAGGAAGTCTGCCACAGCAGAAAAATAAGCAAAAGAACCCAAAATGAGCTCTGCCCCCAGAAGTCAGAGCCAGATGGCAGGACACCCACATATCCCATGAGTGTCCCTAGAGCTGTTGTATCTCACATGGCACCTCACTGTTCTCCAGACCAGCCCTCAAGGGCAGGACAGGGCTGGGGTCACAGGCACCAGCAGGGGACCCTGTGATGTCTCTCCCAGGCCTGCCTGAAGGGCATCTTGAAGGGCATATAAAAACTTTGACTTTTCCATTTCTTAACAAAACAAGCCTACCATGTCTGAAAAACATTTTTCCCATTAACTCTATGTTTTGTGTACAGTTACAGGAATAAAGAGAAATGACACTCAGTCATTACTTTGTCTGTGGTAAAGAAGAGAAATCAATTGCTGTCTTCTTCAAGAGGTGAATGAGAAATCCCTGAGAGAAGAAAGCGCGATACCTTTTTTTGGAGCTCCTGGATATTGGTCTCCCAATTTTTATCTTCCTGTGAGATTTGTCTAAAAGAGAAAAGGACAGACTCATTATCTGCCTAGTTATATTGAGCATTGAGATTGACAGAGCCAGGACACCATTCACAATGTGACACTGGATGCAGCCATGCAAAGGACATAACTCATCAGGAAAGGTGACTGGTGGAATTGGGAGAGATGTTCACTCTATATTTCCAAAGAAAAACAATTAGCAAATGATCCGAATGCTGAACAAAGTGTGTGTGAGTACCTGCACATGACAGCACCAGCACAGGAATTGTCATGACTGCGCCAACAAGGCAGTGGCCCTAAGCCCCTGTATGTTTCTTTCTTTATGTACTTTCTACTTTAAATGATCCGAATGCTGGACAAAGTGTGTGTGAGTACCTGCACATGACAGCACCAGCACAGGAATTGTCATGAGTGCGCCAACAAGGCAGTGGCCCTAAGCCCCTGTATGTTTCTTTCTTTATGTACTTTCTACTTTTATGAAGTTCTGTTTCCAGGATGAGGACATTGTACCTTTACAATGAGCTTTTACAACTAAAGGAAAAAATGGTGAAAGAAACGCCACCTGCTTTAATGGCAATTTTTATCAATTAGAGATAGATTTTGAAGTACTTCTATGTTTTCCTCCTTCCTGCTCCCACATGCCTTTCCTTTTAGCCTTTCCAACTTGGCCCACCTTTTCTGGTTTATTTTCTCTCAGGCCAGTTAGGGAAAGGCAGCTGCACTGTGGAGAAGGCAGTCTTAATGAGCACTGACATTTTCCAAGTGAGTATCAAAAGGGGCTGACCACACAGCCAACCCGGGCCCTGAGGGAAACCACAGCAGAACCAGTCAAGTGATCCTGAGAACAATTTTTAAAAATGAAATGTAAAAGCAAGACTTGTAGAGCTAGCACTTGCCTTAGATCACCTTCATTCTAATCTGCTACTCCGCCAACACCCACCCCAGGCCTCAGTTTCCCAACTGTGATTAACACAGGTCGAGCTGATGGAAATGTGTTGATTATCTGAACCCACTTACTTTTTTGCATTTGTAAGTCTGAGACACACGGTATATCTCAAACACCCCATGCCAGTAAGATTCACTCTCATATCTTTAATTTTCAAAAAGTGTCTCCTTCCTGTAGCCTGAGGATGCAGGTCCTGCTTCTCCAGCACTTCTGGGTGGAGGTGGGTCCTGGGCTGGGATGCAGCTACACCAGGGCAGCATCTTTGGGGTGTGTGAGTCTCTGTGTGTGTACCTGCACCCCTCTCCTACTACTACAGATCAGACCTTGAGCCAGCCCAGAGGGCCGGCCCTCAGGGGTCAGCTGGCTTCTGCAAACTGCAGCACACAAGACCATTCTAGATTTCATTCACAAGGATTCATTTTCCCCTGCCTCTATGGATTCCTCATCTCTATGCACTCTCGAGCTCAGGCGTAGGAGCAATTCAACACCCCTCAGGAGGCAAAAGGCTCCTGCTTTTCCCATCACAGCATCCAGGGTGAACACATGCTAGAACTCAGCATCTCAGCAAAGTGGAAAAACTTACCAATTCATGGTTACCCCTTAAGTCACACCATTGATTAAAAATGAGTGCCAGGAAATGAATTGAGAAGGATTTCAGTATTCTTTGAGGTGCCTGAAAATCAACTACTGACAAATATTTTGTCCAATTATTTTGTTACATTAACTGTTTTGATTCTCATAATGCAACAATTGCAATGTAGGAGGTGGAACACTCCACAGTGAGTTCAATCCCCAGTGTCACCCTTTCTGAGCTATATCACTGGGCAAGTTGCTCAAATTTGCTGAGCCCCTTGATTTTTTGTCCTTAAACTGTGCTAATACCAGCATACACCCTGGAGAGATGAGTGAAGTTTAGATAAAATAACATATCATAAGAGGTTCAGCACAGTATACGGGTACCTAAAAATTACTCATTAGTCTGCAGCTAGTGTCACTAGTTTGTACTGTCACAAAATGCTCTGAAGAACAATCATTTTAACTCACTTCATTTGTGTATCGTATGACATTTGGACACCACTGGAGTGGCAGTACAACAGGGTGTTCATGCAATCCCACCATCAAGCACAACCACTAAAGATGAGAACCTCTGCTATAAATAGAGCACAGCCTGCTTGGTACCTGTGGAAGGTGTGCAGTCTTCGGGCCAGCAGGCACTCCAACGCCAGCACCTTCCCTAGCAGCAGGTCACGCACAGCCGTCTCCTCGCGGCTGGCCGGGCTGATGCGCTGTGCAGTCAGACGCCAGACGTGAATCTCATGCTTTAGTTCTGCAGAGAAAGGAAGGGGAGGCTCAAGTCTTCCCTGACCTCAGACATCAGCAACACCCCCCTCTGCTCACCACACACCCCAAACAGCAGACACACACCAACGACATGCAGGTAGCCCATGGTCAACCCAAAGCAGTGCCTTTTCAGCATATGAGTTATTGTAATAGAGCCAGATGACAAAGTTAACTTTTAAAAACTAACATAGAAGCAAAGTAACACAATTTCAACCCTTTGGGTAAAGAATAAATTCCTTTCTTAAAAAGACACATCAAAGCTAGCACCCAACAGCCTTGTCCATTTCTTGCAGGTATTAGTTTGGGTCCTGCTTTCAGCCAAAATCTAGACATTGCCTATCTTTGAGGGATTTCAGAAACAGATCTAGTGAAAATCAGGAATACAAGTGTAATTCTCAACAGGTAGGGCTTAGGGCTCTCCAGTTGGAAATTTGGTGAGAGGCAGGAGATGGTGAAAGCTCTCCTCAGTGAGCTGAGCTAGAGTCTACAACACAGGTGAGAGAGGTAGACAACCTGATGAAATGCTGAAGTCAACAGACTGAGGAGAATTTTTACCCATCACTGAACTCAGACACCTTCTGATATGGAATAGTACAGAGAGAGATGATCTGTCACTTCACTGCCTAATAGCATTTCGTGAAAGTTCACATTTAACTTTTATTTTACCATTAGAAATGCTACCTAACTTTCTCAAAATATATATAAAAAATATAAGAAAGCACAAATTTTTCATAAATCAACCATTACATGCAACATACTATATTCCTTAGTAACCCTGTACTGGAGTCACTTCCTCCCAATCCAACCCTGGTTAATCATAAAACACTGCTTGGTTCTATCTATCTACATATCTGTCTCATCTAAGAAACAATAGATAGGTCAAGGAAGATGATAAAACCTAGATGAGATAGATGATAGATAGATAGATGACAGACAGATAGATAGATGATAGATAGATATATAGATAGATGATAGATAGATAGATAGATAGATGATAGATAGATAGATAGATAGATGATAGATAGATAGATAGATAGATGATAGATAGATAGATAGATAGATGATAGATAGATAGATAGATAGATGATAGATAGATAGATAGATAGATGATAGATAGATAGATAGATAGATGATAGATAGATAGATAGATAGATGATAGATAGATAGATAGATAGATGATAGATAGATAGATAGATAGATGATAGATAGATAGATAGATAGATGATAGATAGATAGATAGATAGATGATAGATAGATAGATAGATAGATGATAGATAGATAGATAGATAGATGATAGATAGATAGATAGATAGATGATAGATAGATAGATGACAGATAGATAGATAGATGATAGATAGATAGATAGATGACAGATAGATAGATAGAGCGATAGATGATTGATAGATAGATAGATAGATAGATAGGTAGATGATAGATAGATGATAGATAGATAGATAGATAGATGATAGATAAGATAGATGATAGATTGATAGATGATAGATAGATAGATAGATGATAGATTGATAGATTGATAGATGATAGATAGATAGATAGATAGATAGATGATAGAGCGATAGATGATTGATAGATAGATGATAGATAGATAGATGATAGATTGATAGATGATAGATAGATGATAGACAGACAGACAGACAGACAGACAGACTGTTTCCTCCTTCAAATATCCATGGTTCCCCAGGGCATGCAGGATAAAGGCAAAGATGTCCGTGGAAGACTCAAGATCCTCGAATGAACAGCACCATTGTGAGCTCTGGTCCCTCCACATAGGTTTCAACTCTGTGCCATTGCCACATAAGTCTCTGACCAGGAGATACCATTGGATGCCTTATATCAGACCACTCCATCAGCTCCTATCTTCCTGACCTTCTCAACCAACCTCCTACAGTATTACTTAAGGTGCCACATACATGTTTCAACCAGGCAAGACAGTGCCATGTGGGATTTGCTCTCTCACAGGAGGTGGTGGTTGCCAGGGAGGCCTAGAGGAGTTAGCTCAGAGTTAGGAATCTCAGGGGAAGAAGGAGTCCAGGAGGAGAAAAATGAAATTATGTGAGTATAAGGTTTCTATAATATTCATTAAGTGGTATATCATCACTCAAAGTGAGTGGTATGACTATCACTAAAATCATAAAACAGAATTATAGCCAAAAAAATGCAGCCAAAAGAAGAGATAATATAGGATATTTTTAAATACTCGATTAATTCTAAAGAAGTCATAAAATGAGAAAAAAAAATAAAGAGAAGGCACAAATAGAAAACAATAACATGATGATACACTTAAATTTAACCATATCACTAATCACATTAAATATAAATGGTGTAAACACCCCAATTTAAAAACAGAGATTACCAGATGGGATAAAAAAGCAAGACCCAACTACATGCTGCTTACAAAGAGAAAACAAAACAAAAATGTAGAGAAAACCTATACAATCAAAAGCTATATAATCAAAATTGATAAACCTCTAGCCATACCAATCAAAAGAGAGAGAGAAGACACAAATTATCAATATCAGGAACAAGAGAGGCGACATTATCAAAAATTCTATAGCCATTAAAAGAATAGTAAATGAATATTATGAACAACTTTATAATAACACATTCAAAAACTTTAAGGAGCTGCTGTGGTGGCAGCTGCAAGAGATGGAGTGAGCCCAGCGGCCACACACAGACCCAGAGAAAATGGAGGAAGCCATTATGTCTTGCTACACGAGGCCCCCCAACACCTCCCGGTTCATCAGGAACACTGCAGATGCCACCAGGCCTGAGGACTTGTGCTGTGAATTTGGTCAATATGTCCCTGTAGTACCTGTTTACATTCCACTTGACTTCTACACTTGCAACCCAAGAGGATATGCTTATGTTCAATTTGAAGATGTTCAAGATGCTGAAGATGCTCTTTATAACCTCAAGAGAAAGTGGGTATGTGGCCTTCAAATTCAAATGCAGTTTTCACAAGGTGATCGCAAAACACCAGGCCAAATGAAATTAAAAGAACATCATCCTTGTTCTCCAAGTGATCACAGGAGATCAAGAAGCCCCAGCCAAAGGAGAACTCAAAGAAGAAGTTCTTCATGGGGAAGAAACAGGAGGTGGTCCAATGGCCTTAAAGAGTCTCAACACAGACGATTTCCTTCTAGCTAGTCTAAATCTCATTCCAAATCACTACCAAGGCAGTCTACGTCAGCAAGGCAGTCAAGAACTCCAAGAAGGAATTCTGGTTCTAGAGACGGTCAACGTCCAAGTCCTTACAAAAAAGGTCCAAGTCAATAGGAAAATCACAGTCAAGTTCACCTCAAAAGCAGACTAGCTCAGGAACAAAATCAAGATCACATGGAAGACATTCTGACTCCATAGCAAGATCCCCATGTGAATCTCTCAAAGGGTACACCAATTCTGAAACTAAAGCACAAACAGCAAAACATTCTCATTTTCGGTCACATTCCAGATTTCAAAGTTATCATCATAAAAACAGTTGGTGAACAGCAACTGAAGAGCACTACATATTCTTTAATATAAGTTATTAAACCTCTCATTATGCTAAATAAAAATTCTTCAATGCTTACAGAAAATGTGAGTTGATATTAGTTACTTTGGGCATGTGGAAGAAAAAAATAAAAGCTCTCTAGCTTCAGATTAATAAAGATTTGGTCTCAGTTTAAGGGCCCACACCACAAATTATGATGTATCACATGTCACCATTTTATGGAGCATTTTGTGTTTACATTGTGGCAGAAGGGTTAGTTTCAAAGGAAATGTGTAAAATTTAACCAATTTATGAAATTCTACTTGGATACTTTTACAAAAATATTTTTTACTTTAAAGCACTTTCATGTAAAAAGTAATTATGACTGCATAATTGCATAGGGCAGACTTAAACTGTTTGACACTATGTCTCTTTTGAGTCTTATTTAAACTTGGGCCAATTCATGGTGGAATAGTACAAAATTTGACATCTTAGGAAGTTGAATTTACATAGAGATCAAGTATTTAAAAGATGCATTCTCCCTTGAGCTCAAAGAAGGTTTTATTTTTATTGGATGGAACAATACAGGTAAGTTGACATGAAATTCTGTCCTGTACCATGTTCACTTCAGAAATGTCAAAACATTTGAGAAATACTGGAATTTGAAAGATTTGGAGACTACGTCTTTAAAAATTATGGTGTGCGACACTCACAATCCAAAAATATTCATATTAAGCCTTACATATTTGAACAGAGATACATTTCATATAAAACCATATTTTATACCATTATTTCTACATACCTACTTTTCACCAGCTGTTTAATTTTTTTCCTTTTAAAGCTCTAGCTCAAGACTTTAAATTATATAGAATAAGTCTTATTATTTTTGAAATAGTGTTTTGTACTTTCTATTAAGAAAGACTTAAAGACTACATCTTTAAACTTTGTAGTATTTGAATTTTACATTACACGGCCTTTCATTTTTTTAAACCATATAACTTTGTAGATATTTGTCGCTTTTGTAGTTGTTATAGTTAAGAATTTCTTTTAAAATGTGTTTGTAGTTTTCACAGGGTTTTGGTAGTATTTGCGATAAAATGGTTTTGCATATGATTATCATGGGGTTATATTTATAGAGCTCTACTTGTATCCCTTGTTGAATTATTCTCTTGAGACTTAAAAGTTCTCAACCCATACAGTTAATATTTGTATCCAAAGTGCTTAAGAAAAAAAATCTGTCTTATCTTGTATTTTTAGTATATAGGAGCCAGTGTTGCTTCTATTTGTTTTGAATACAAATTCACTTTTCTTTGCCTTTTAGATCCTATATGTAAGAAACAACTTTACAAAATAATTTGTATGCTGGTAATACTTGGACAAATACCATAAATTTATGTATATTGTACTTTCTGAATAGATTTTCTCTATTTAATCATAGCAAAATTTATTTATTTCACAACTACAACTCTTTGAGGTGT